ACATCGTGGCGGACCCTGCGATGGATCTGGTCCCAGAGGAAAACGATAGCGACTCGGACGAGGATGGAATCCTGAACCGAGTCCGAGAACTCCTCCGTGGAAGCGGAGATGAAGGCGGCTGTGGCAGCGATGACTGCGGCGGCGACGGCGGTACGCCCGAATAGGGGTTACATACCGTCATTCGGGAAGGTGTAGGAAGGGCCTCTCAACATCCATGGTAAGTTTTAATTTCATCCAAATTAACTTACAACACTGCATAGCGGCTTCGAGGGCCCTTACTCAGGAGATCACTCGAGGCCGACATGACGTGGCTCTCATCCAGGAACCCTGGCTGAGAAACGGTTCAGTAAACGGGCTTAGTATACCAGGCTATACGCTTTTTAGCGATACTCCGGACACTAAGCCCAGAGCTTGCGTAATGACTTCCGTCAACTCATGGCAACTTAAAGAATTTACATTTAGAGACTTAGTTGCAGTCAGAATTAGATATAAGAAGGAAGGCAGTGACAGGGACTTGGTTGTCTGTTCGGCTTACCTTCCTTACGATTCAAGAGACCCTCCTCCGTCTAAGGAAATGGGGGACCTTGTCGCATTCTGTAGGGATTCTGGACTCGACCTTGTGATTGGATGCGACAGTAATGCCCATCACGTTGCGTGGGGCAGCTCGAACACCAACAGACGAGGCGAAGACCTGATGGAGTTTCTTGGGGCATCGAACCTTGAGGTTCTGAATGTCGGTAACATGCCCACTTTCAGCAATAGTGTAAGAGAAGAGGTTATCGACGTAACACTGAGCACGCTTAACTTAGCTCAGGACATCAGGGACTGGAAAGTGTCTCTAACACCCTCTCTATCGGATCACAGGTATATACTGTTCAAGACTGATGGAGAGATTCCGGATAAATATGCTCGGAATCCCAGGCATACTAGATGGGGGTCCTTTAGGGCAGACATTGACAGTAAGCTTGGAGCGGTCCCATACAGGCTTGGCAGGGGCTCTGACATAGAAGCAGCTGTCGAGTCTCTGAGCAGGGACTTGACGGCCGCATATGAGGAAAACTGCCCGTTACGCAAAGTACAAGGTAAGGGCAAGGCAACCTTCTGGACCAAAGATTTAGAGGATAGAAAACGAGCGGTGCACAAACTTCTTAGCAGAGTTAAGCACAGGAGAGGTTCTCCTCTATGGGAAGAATACAAAAAGGCATTGCAGGAGTACAAAAAGGAGATTAGAAGGGCCTCCAGAGAATCCTGGAGGCACTTCTGTCAGTCCATAAATGACATTCCTGCTACTGCAAGAATACACAGAGTCCTATGCAAAGACACTAAAGCAAGATTGGGATCTCTGCATGATCCCTCGGGAGGGAACACTACTTCCGAGGAAGATACTCTGAGGCTTCTGATGGATACGCACTTTCCCGGTTCCACAGTAGCGCGATCAATCACAGAGTGCATGCAGTTGCGCAGGCCCTCAAGGGAGGACTGGCGCACGGCAAGGGAGATTGTCACCTTCGAAAGGACGGTATGGGCAGTAGATTCGTTTGCCCCATACAAAAGTCCAGGTCTGGACGGCGTATTTCCGGCCATGTTACAGCAGGGACGGATTTCGGTTGTTCCTTACCTGTTGAATGTGTTTCGAGCATGTGTGGCCACGGGCTTCACACCTAGAAGTTGGCGGCAGGCTAAAGTGGTATTCATTCCTAAACCGGGCAGAGATAGATATACTGGCCCGAAGGATTTTCGACCGATTACTCTTTCATCTTTTGTGCTTAAGACCCTGGAAAGGATAGTTGATAGATACCTAAGGGATGGCCCACTGGAAAGGTGTGTCATTCATGCAAATCAGTTTGCATACCAAGCTGGAAAATCGACTGATCTGGCCTTACACAATCTGGTTGGGAGGCTGGAGAAGACTCTAGATCAGCGAGAAGTGGCACTCGTGGCCTTCTTAGATATTGAAGGTGCATTTAATTGCACCACAACCGACTCTATCAGACAGGCCTTGGTTAGACACGGGGTTGGATCAATCCTAATAGATTGGGTCCTCTCTACTCTGGAGGGTCGGGTAACAACAGCTATGCTGAATAACGTAAGCTGCAGCGTGAACGTAGCTAGAGGCTGCCCTCAGGGTGGAGTTCTGTCACCCCTACTGTGGTGTATCGTGGTGAACGAACTGCTCGTTAGGCTCAACAGTATGGGTGTCTACGTGCAAGCCTATGCTGATGACGTAAGCATAGTGGTTAGGGGGCGTTTCTGTAGAACAGTCTCGGAAATTATGCAGGGCGCTCTGCGCTCCGTGGAATCGTGGTGTAGGGAAGTCGATCTTTCTGTTAATGCTGAAAAGACCGAGCTGATCCTATTCACTAGGAGAAGAAGGCTTGACGGACTGGTCATGCCTACCTTCTTTGGGACTAGATTAGTTTTGTCCCAGTCAGTGAAATATCTGGGAATTATCCTGGACTGCAAACTGAACTGGAGAGAGCATGTGGAACACAAGGTTAGCAAGGCTCGCAATTCGATGTGGGCTTGTAGACGTGTTGTCGGTGTAAGGTGGGGGCTTAAACCCAAAGTGGTATACTGGCTCTACACGACGATAGTACGTCCATCTCTCTTGTACGGCTCCCTGGTCTGGTGGCCTTGCATTAGAACTGAGTCAACTAAGGCCAAACTCAATAAAATTCAGCGTTTGGCCTGTATTAGCATTACAAGCGCAGTGCGAACAACGCCATTGAGTGCAATGGAAGCTCTGTTGGATCTCCCACCGTTGGATCTGGTGATCCGCGGTGAAGCGAGAGTAGTCGCTCATCGACTGTGGAGTCAGGGCAGCTGGGCTTTCTTGAATCCGGTCAAGGGGCATACTGCCATATTAGTCGAATTAGATAGGGAGGACCCCGTCCTTCTAAGCAGGGGTGATCGTACTACCCCTAAATATCGCTTCAACCGCAAGTTCATTGTGGAGTACCCAACGAGGGAGGAGTGGGACGCCGGTAGCCGAGGACTCTCCGAAGTGAGCGGGCAGGTCTGGTACACGGACGGCTCGGTCACCGAAGAGGGCTCAGGTGCTGGGGTCTCTGGACCTAGAACTAGGCTATCTCTGCCTCTCGGTGAGTACACCACCATTTTCCAGGCGGAAATATTTGCGATTCTGGCTTGTGTATCTCACATTCTGGAGGAGGGTGGGCCTAGGAGAAGAATAACAATCTTATCCGACAGCCAGGCTGCAATGAAAGCACTAAGTGCATGTAAGATTACTTCGAGTCTTGTATTGCAATGCAGGGAGGCTCTGGATTGCCTCGCAGCGAGGCATCCGGTATCGTTAATATGGGTACCGGGGCACGCTGGGATAAGGGGCAATGAGACGGCGGACACTCTGGCGAAAACAGGATCAGCCAGCAAGCTCGTTGGTCCTGAGCCAGCTCTAGGAGTAACCGCGCATAAAGCTAGGAGGAAAATGGAGACGTGGGTTGCAAGACAACACTCTCAGAAATGGAGAAGTATCTCTAGACATCTCCGCCAGGCACGAGAGCTCATTGAAGGGCCCAGTGCTAAGGATGGACGCTTCTGCCTATCTCTGGGTAGAGCCAACCTAAGGTTGCTGGTGGGACTGTTGTCTGGCCATAACACGTTAAGGCGGCACCTGCACGTGATGGGGGTGGCTGAGGATCCCTTATGCGAACGCTGCGGAGTAGAGGAAGAGACCTCGGCGCACGTTTTGTGTCGCTGTGAAGCTCTGAGCTACTATAGGCAGACTATACTGGGGTCCATTACTTTGGACCCTCAGGACGTAAAGGAGCTTGGACTCAAGGCGATTCTCAACTTCGCTAAAAGGGCGAGGCTTGTGATTTAAGTATTGTAGAGGTGCATAAGGGCCCGCTTAAGCGGCCTATGCACTGGCTCCTTATGGTGGCCGGGATGCCTCTAAAATTCAAGATTCATTCATTCATCATTCATCTTGAACAAGACCTTCTACATAATCAAGTACGCTATTGATGAAGCTCTAAATTATTGATTCCCAAAGTGGTCTATATCGACCCCTAGGGGTCTATGACAACCTGCAAGGGGTCTACATGTACGTCAGCGAAAAAAAATTTGGGGGTCCATGAAATAAATATGGGTGTCCACGATAGTGGATCTCAACACATACACTGATAGTACCTATTTACTTACATCATACTATCTTATAATATCAAAACATATACATTATTCATAAAAGTACCTATGAAGCAAAAATTTATTATATATGTTTATAAAATTGTGTAAGTTGTAGGATGTTGGTATTCGCTTTGTGGTCGCAATACATTTTGAACTTGTAAAAACCTGAGAGTCGCAGTCTCAGAGCTTCGCTACCTTGCACCGACTTGTTCAATTCGTCACTCTATAAATACGAATGTGGGACAAATACGTTTATTCGTTTCCTGAATCTTGAAAAGGAAAGTGCTAAGAAAATATTTTAAAACATATAAACAGATAGTATATCACACAAATTATAGTGAGTCAGTGTTATTTTGTTTGAGAGTGCTTAAGAAAAATAAGTACATTATTTTTTATTAAATTTTAGTTTTGTACTCGTAGTTAGCAGAGATAGATAAATTACGCCAATTATGACTTTAGTTATTAGTAGTTAAATATTCAATCATGCAGAATTACACGAGTACTCCTCAATAGTTTCTTTTTGAAAGTTTTAGCAATCGGTAATATAATTACAGTGCAATCTCCGTAATTCGAGCTAATTGTTGCAAGAAGATGTTTGAATTATGGAATGTTTTCGGAAAAATCAAAAAATATTTTTAATATACAGCTGCTGGATTTTCTGTCTTATTTAAATAATTTAATTTTGCCCACAGATGACTGATGCCATGTCCGAATCTAAAAAGAAATGTAGACAGTAAAGTGTAGATTATTTGAAATTTGGCTTCATTCCATCATTGCCGGACAAACAATCGCCTATGTGCCTTTTATGCAACAAAGTTTTGGGCAATGACGCTATGAAACCATCTAAACTGCAAGATCATCTGAGAAGGCCACCCTGATAAAACAGAGAAGGATTTGAAATACTTTCAAACACTCAAAAATAAATTTCAGAAGAGACCTACACTGGACAGAATGTTCGCTTCGACGTCACAAAGAAATGATGATAGTTTGCGGGCGTCTTACAATATCTCGTTACTTATAGCAAAATCCGGAAAACCGCATACTATCGGAGAGAAGTTAATTTTGCCAGCCGTTGAAGAGGTTTTAAAAACTGTTTTACACAAACCTGCATCTGATATCATTAAAATAATTCCCTTAAGCAACAATACTGTTGAAAGACGTATTGCTGAAATGAGTTCTGATATTGAAAGCTTCCTATGTAATTATTTGCAAACGACCCATTTCTCTATACAACTGGACGAGTCAACTTTACCTGATAATGCAGCATTATTATTGGCATATGTTCGTTTTATTACGAATCAAGAAATCTACGAAGAACTGCTCTTCGCAAGAAATTTTATAAATAACCGACACTAAAGGTGAATCAATATTTAATGTTTTGAAGGATTACTTCATTGAAAAAGCAATTCCTTTATCAAATATAATATCGGTAGCTACAGATGGAGCACCTGCCATGGTTGGACGTTATCGTGGATTTATAAGCTATTTAAAACAAAATGTGTCAGTGTCAGGAGTGTTAGCAATACATTGCGTCATCCATCGACAACATTTAGTTGCTAAAAATTTGAGTGTTGAATTACATGAATCACTTCATTTTGTCATTGATGCAGTACACCGAATCTGAAGCAACGCGTTGAATACGCGGTTATTTGCGCAGTTGTGTGAAGAAAATGACGAACACTTTCATATTACTCCTTCACACTGAAGTACGCTAGCTGTCGAAAGGCTTATGTTTGACAAGATTTTTTGCACTTTTTGAGACTATTCCAGAATTTCTGGATACTAAAGATAAAATTTTAAAAGAAAATTTAATGAAGAGGAAAACAGACATCGCCTATTTAACAGATTTGTTTACAAAATTTAATATGGTTAATTTGCAATTACAAGGCGACAGTTTAAATTTGATTAAAGCACAGTCCATCTTATCAGCGTTTCCTGCCAGAGTTAACCTAATGAAGCAAAATATTGGACGGGGCGAATTTTCTCAGTTCCCCAATTTGTCACAGACAAGCTGCCAGGCAGACGACGTTTCAACTTACGTACAACATTTAAATGCCCTCTATTCAGATTTTGAATCTAGGTTTGAGGATATTTTGACTATGGTAATACCACCGTGGATAATTAATCCATATGGTCACATAGAAGAAACGAATGTCATAATACAAGAGGAACTGACTGAACTAAGTACAAACGAGGAACTTAAGGTTCAGTTTAAAAACGAATATCAGCAATTCTGGCTGCAAAACAACATACCCGTTACTTATCCCGTATTATGGAATATAGCGAGGAAATTTTTAATTTCCTTTCCATCGTCATACCTAGTGGAAAGGGGGATCAGCGCTGTTACCAATCTCCTAACGAAAAAAAAAACAGACTGGACATCATTAGCCGAGGAGATTTAAGATAAACCCTTACAAAATTGACGCCAAATGTTGATAATTTATTATTAAAGCATCAGGTTCATCCTTCTCACTAAAAATATTGACTTATTGCTTATGTTATTTTATTTATAGTTTATTTTATGTTTATTGGTGTCTGACCAATAAATTCCCGCATTGAGAATAAGTGCCCGCATTGATTTTTTTAAAGAACATCCCTTTATAGAAAATATTTTTTTTAAATTATTCTGAAAATTCAAGGATAGGTACACACTAAAATTTGTTAATTTTTAGCCTATTTTTAGATAACTTAAACGTATAAGAAGCGGATTGTAATCAAACCAACAGTGAAATTATTGTAGAACATACATTTATGTTATATTTAATAAACGAACTAGCTTATTGTACTATTTTAAGTAAAAAACTTTTTTTTTATTATATTTCACTTTTTTTTATTTTATCCCTCTTATTTTTTTTTCAATGCGGGCACTTATTCCCAATGCGGACACCTGTTTATTTAATGTTGTATGTATATTTTACATAACAGATACAAAATTTTATTTTGAGTAGTTTTAATTTAAATTCAATTAATAAATGTATAAATTAACATGTGTTTTTACTTTAAGTTTTTAACACTAAACTTCACTACAGTTAGAAATTTACAGGAAATCAATATCAGGTAAGTAGGGAGTCTACCCAACACGGAAAAACATGGCAAGGGGTCTACGAGACAAAAAAGTTTGGGAACTCGGCTCTAAGTTGACTCACTGAAATGATATTTCCTTTAAATTATCTTTTGTGCAGTGGTTGGGAAATACAGCAAGTAATCAGACACCTTAAAAATCATCTAAAGTAGGTCCTTCTTTTCAAATTTAAGAATCCGGAAGAAGCAATCTTTTTTTAGAAAACCATTCGCAAGCAGCATATGGACTTTTGACACCTATCTATCTTCAGCTTTTGATAATTTTTATGTTACGGGTACGCATGTTGTAGATATTTAAAACCCGTGACTGTATCTGCGTAAACTGAAAATACTATATTGCTGTATGAAAGTATGAAATGTACCAAGTTAGTACACCTGACTCCATTTTTACAAAACATAATGACATTAACTCAAAATCATCCTATTTCCTTTGATTCCGGGATCACCAGTTTTTCTTGAATGTAGAAAATCTGAAGAGAGCGTTCAAGTAATCTAGAATCATTAGTGCTCTATCGGGAAGGGCACACTTAAGTAAGACAAAAAATTCTGTAAATAAGAGGGTGTTAAATTCAAATGATAAATTTTGCTGATTTTCTAAACAATTAAAACATGAGCCATGGTCGTGAAAGAAAAAATGTTAAATGAGCTTCTTCCCCATCAGTTCATAAAGGATTATATAGGGCACACACGTTAGATCCTTTGGGGAAAAAGTGAGGTTCCAACATGTAACACGGAGAAGTTAAGCAGGTCCATCCAATTAGTCCATAGACATATTTTTCCTGCCCTGCCGATAATAGCTTGCATCTGGCAAAGTCGCCCCTCCCAGCATACCTAGCCGCTTGGTGAATCCACTTTTCTGAGTTGGCAGCATGCCAGTGACAGGCCGAGACTCGTGGGTGAGACTGTGACGCCTGTCAACTCAGAGAGAGAAAAAAATTGAGATGTATTTTTTCCTAATTTTCAATCCCTTAAGAGATTTTTCTGAAAATGATCAGGAGTCTCTGAAACATCAAAAAACGATTCGGATTAGTAGAAACGTGTTAAAAAATTTTATTGTAACGCGCTTGTAACTGAGACCTTGAGTAACGATGAGACCCGTAGCCATATCCTCGCTTAGACAACCAGTCTCATCGCCGTTATTAGTAGTATAGCTTGCAGCATCATCTAAAATCTAAATGGATCGGACGACATCTAGAACATTCGTGGCGTCATCTCAAAGGTTCGAGCCGCATCAAAAGGTATCCACCGCCTCTAGACGGTTTTTAGAAGATCGATTTCGATCGAGACGATGCTTCTAGAAATCATCGAATGAAGATAAATACCCACCAGATGACAGAAGCAGTCAGTCAGTTACATTCGATACACTAAACAACGCGGAATGCCGTAGTCCAGTCAACATGGTTATACATTTGTAACAAATTGATTGCAAGTTTAATGTAGTTATAAATTAGTGTAAGACTAATAATTTAGACTTTGCACAACAAAAACGGTGTTTTCGTTACATTATTAACATCCAAAAAGTGAAGTCATACCTACCTACCTACACACTTTAGCATCTAAAATGGAATTGCACATTGATACAAATCTCACAAGTTGTAAAGTATGAATTTATTATACAGGGTGACTTTGAAGTTGAGTCATTAATTTTCAGATAATGATTGTAGAAGGAAGATAAACCAAAATATGTGTGTAAAAATAAAAAAAAAGTTTACCTTGTTTTATAAAGTATCCTCCCGACAAGCATTTCAGTGCGGACCTGTATTTGATCGTGAGGTCTTGGAGCACCGGCATGCCGTCCCCTGTGAGGTCTTAAGTCACCTAATTCACGACGCCGTTGTACTACATTAACAAAGGCACGAGGGGTTGGTTGCACTCGATTGGGAAACCGATCCGCATAAACATGTGCCATTTTTTATTTCGTTTGAGCCACGCAACAGACACCACTATTCACTCACGCGTTACCGACTGACACTGACTGTATACAATTGAATAAAGTAATTGTAAAAACATCGTTCCAAATTCTTTCGCTTTTTTGTTTCTGATGCGATGAACCGATAAGGCGGATTATATCCGTTGTTGCCAAACACGAGCACATAATATTATTATTGAGACAGGGCGGTACTCAAACTTCCAAAGGGCTTTAACTTTGTTACTTTAATTTTACCAGAAAAATGGTAAAGGAAAAAAACATTTCTTTTGATCAGATCTACTCACTGTTAAAATAAATGACTCAACTTCGAAGTCACCCTGTATGAAAGTATTTTTTGAATACATAACTACTTTTAGGAGTGCGAATTTCCTTCCTGAGATATTTTATCTTTGAGAATAATAAGGACACCTACAGGCATACACCATAATTGAACATTTAAGAGCTCCTCTAGCAATTCCTTTCATCGTGAGACCGTTCACCATGTTTCTAGAGGTTCATCTCCATAGCGCCTTTGCATAACGGTGCTTGCATGGCAAGCGGCGAGGCATTCCTCTTGACGTGTATTCAAATTGAGCTGGTGAAACATCGCTCAGTCGACTCCCATAACTCGAGAGCAACATATGGTTGGCCGATTAAGCTGTAAACATTTCAGCTTATACTGCGGCTAATAACCAACATAGGAGCATAGCGCCACCGCTTGCACTCTACAGTTATAGTGGAAACTTTCTAACAGTATATCAAAACTTTACATAAACTTACCCGGCATCGATGCAAGGGCGGGGCAACGGAGGAAGTTGGAAAATGCGAGAAAGGATACGATAGAATAGTTATTGAATCAGTCGTTTCAAAAACCTGACAAGTCTTACAATTTAATACTTTCAGGACATAATAAAAACTGTATCATTCACAAGTTGTTCCAGCTACAGTTGTAGCTATTGGCAAATCTTCTATCAATATTAGCAGTACTTTCTGAGCCAGAGAGGTCAAGGACTATCGGACACCAGTAGCGTACATATCATAAAATTCAAAAAATACAGTCAAGCTCGAACATTCGAAGCGTTATTAGTGAAGCATTAAACATTTTCTTATAATATGTTGAAGCAGCCATGTTGGCAGAAGCCTAAAAACCAGGTCTCCGCGGCTATTAAGAGGAGCTTAAAAATACTTTGTTAATCCAATTTTTGAACAGCCCAAGGTTGGAGAACTAGGAAAAGCCTTCTCAGGTAGATTGTTCCACGGTCTCGATACCCTAGGGCTAAAGGAGTAGTCGTATCGACCAGTTCTGGATGTAGGAAGGTCGACACGGTTGGAATGGGAGGCCAAAGTCAGGTTGGTATGCCTTTCAGGCACATCGCACGTTGACATCATGGTAGAGACCTCTGAGGAACAAATCATGTTGGCATAGCGGTAGAAGAGAGTCCAATCGCTGACGGCCCGTCGCGTCGGTGCTAAAGGGTCCCGAGACTTTACGTTAAAGAAGAGTCATCGATCAGTCGGAAAGACCTCCTCTGAATAGCATCGATCATAGATAATGTAGTCGGCACGGTAGTTCCCCAAATGTGTGAGCAGTACTAGAGGCTATCTTAGCTGAACCTTGTACAGAGTGAGGGGGTTAAGCGGAGAGAAGGGGACTTCTCAGCCCTAAACAAAGCCAAGCCTTTTCCTAGCATCAGCCGCTATTGACTAGATGTGTTCATGCCAGATCAAGTCCTCGGTAATCTGGACTTCGACCAGCCAGAAAAAAACGGCTGTTTGGTAGAACTCCGCCATCCATCGGAACCGGATGAGTGCTAGGGCGCTTCTTGTTACTGAATGATACAGTACTGGGTTTTGGGAGCATTAAACTGAATCATGTTGTTGCGTCCCGGGGCAGTGATAACCTCTCGTCAGAGAGGAAGTCGCTGCTGATAAAGGTTTGAAGTTTTCTCAAAATATCGCACCACAAAGTCGGCAAAAGCGGTCGATCAAAGGATTCAAAGGCGGCCTAGTTGCCAGGCTTCGCCTCTCCACCACTACTGCTACTACTGAGTCTCGAAATTCAACTGTTTCAATTTTGGTCAATCCAGGGATTGACGTATGTATATCTCTTCAGAAGTCCGAAAGTTGTGAACTATATTTTACATTCTTATACGAGTATATCTGATCTTATCTAATTTATCTATTTCAGGTATTCCACAATTTTTTCTACTACCAATGCAAGTGTTCCATAGATACCGGTTTCGACTTAGTTTCAATAATGATGTCTACTTCTATGAT